CTGGGTATATATCCAAAGGATTATAAATCATGGTGCTATATAGACACATGCACACGTATGTTTATTGTGGCACTATTCACAATAGCAAAGACTTGGAACCAACCCAAGTGTCCATCAATGATAGACTAGATTAAGAAAATGTGACACATATACACCATGAAATACTATGCAGCCATAAAAAAGGATGAGTTCATGTCCTTTGTAGGGACGTGGATGATGCTGGAAACCATCATTCTCAACAAACTGTCACAAGGACCAAAAAACACCACATGTTCTCACTCATAGGTGGGAATTGAACAATGAGAACACTTGGACACAGGAAGGGGAACATCACACACCGGGGCCTGTCATGGAGTTGCGGGAGTGGGGAGGGATAGCATTGGGAGATATACCTAATGTAAATGAGGAGTATAAATGACGAGTTAATGGGTGCAGCACACAACATGGTGCGTGTATACACATGTAACAAACCTGCTTGTTGTGCACATGTACCCTAGAACTTAAAGTATAATAAAAACAAAAAAAGAAAAGCAAAAAAAAAAGACTATTATGAGCATCTATGAGCTAATAAATTTTAAAACTGAGATGAAATGGATGAATACTGAGAAAAATATTTAAAATGTCAAAATTGAGACTTCCAAGACTTACGGAAATGTAAATGGTAAAATCTTCCCATCCCAACCCCCCCAAAATTCAAGGCCCAAATTACATTACACGTAAATTCTACCAAATTTTCAACAGATAATGAATTCATTTTCTTATACCAGTTGTTTCAGGAAACATGGAAAGCTATCCAGCTAGTTTTATGAGGCTAATGGGATCTCAATTCCAAAAATAGTGAAAGGGCGGAAAAAGAAAGCATGCTCATTTCATATACAGCTCTAAATATAAAAATTCTAAATGAACTATTATCAATGTTATTAAATGTGTGTGTATATGCCTGTGTATGTGTATATGTCTCTGTGTGTGTGTGTGTGTGTGTGTGTGTGTGTGTGTGTGTGTGTATGTGTGTTGCATCAGAACTAAGTAGAGTTTAACCCTTAAGATCAGGAAAAAGACAGGGATTTTCCACATCACCACTGCTGTTTTACGTAGTTCTTAAGGCTAAGAACAATTCTATAAGAAAAAAAAGTTATAGGTGTAACTACTAAGAGTTGCTACAAACACAATCAACTTCTAGAAATCAGTATCATTGTTCTACATCATTAATAACCAAGTACAAAATATAGTTTTAAAGTGTTACAGTTGCATCGAAATTTATGAAGTATCTGGGAATAAACTTAACCAAGAACACTAAGATAAAACTTTTATGGACAAAATTTTAATTTTTAACTCTAAAAAAGGACATAGAAAATGATCTGTATAAATCAAGATATTTGGGGAGCTTGGATAGTAAAACCTAATATCAGTGTTCACAAATTAATTTATAAATTTACTGGCATTCCAATCAAATTCTTTTGATATATCTATGCACTTAATGTAAAAGTTATGAAGAAGAATAAATGTTCCTGAATAGCCTAGTTAATCCTGAAAAAAAGAATAAATTCTACCACATGTTGAGATATGTAAGAAATAAGATAGTTAAGATAAATTGAGGTAATAATAGAAATTAAAAATATAGAAAGCTGGACACACACATATGTTGACATGATAAATACATAGAAGAGAGAGCAAAAGAATATAAAGATAAATTAATAATAGAAATGAAAAATATAGAAAGCTGGGGACACACATATCTAGACATGATAGATACATAGGAGAGAGAGCAAAAGAAAAAGGAGGAAGGAGGCTGGACTTCTTCTATGTAGATTATGATATTATCTGTAAATAATGAATGTTTTATATCTTCATTTCAAATATATATTCACACAGTAAAGATAACACCATACATCTCTGAGAAAAGGAATTTTTGTTTAATAGATGGTATTGGAAAAACTGACTCACTGTATAAACAAAAATAATACTGGATCCATATCTAATATCACATATGAATGAAAGTAGATCTAGATTAATTAAAGATCAAAATATAAAAAGTAAAACCATAAATATAAAGCTAATTGATAAAAATATAGTTATCTCTGTAATTCAAGACAAAACCCCAAAGCATAAACATTTTTAAAACATGATTTGATGATCTCAAAATTAAGAAAATATATGTAACAAATAACATGGATAAAGTTAATAGATATATGACATTTGGGAGAATGCATTTGCAGTGTTTCAAACCACAAGGAACTCTTACCTAAAATATGTAAATCAGGCTAGGTGCAGTTGCTCACATCTGTAATGCCAGCACTTTGGGAGGCCGAGGCAGGCAGATCACATGAGCTCAGGAGTTTGAGACCAGCCTGGGCAACATGGCAAAACCCTGTCCCTGCAATACAAAAGTACAAAATACTAAAATACGAAAATTAGCCAGGCATGGTGGCGAATGCCTGTAGTCCCAGCTACTCGGGAGGCTGAGGTGGAAGGATCACTTGAGCCCAGGAGGTGGAGGTTGCAGTGAGCTGAGATCGCACCACTGCACTCCACCCTGGGCCATAGAGTGAGATCCTGTCTAAAAATTAATAATAATAAAATTAAATATATAAATCAACAATATAAAGACAAGAACCTCCATTTTTTAAATGAGTAAAGGATATGAACAGGAAATTTACAGAAGAGGAAACCCAAAAGACCAACAAGCATATTAAAAAGATATCAAATCTGTTAGTAATTTGAGGAATACAAATTAAAACAATGAGATATTATTTTGTATCTCTTATGCTGGCCAAAATTAGAAACCTGGATAATACTAAGAGTTGGTGGAGATAAGGTGTATAGAAACTGTCATGCACTGCTAGAGAGTGGGCATTGATGACTCACATTAAGTATGCACTCCCAGTTCTACTCCAGATTATAAATCCCAAAGAAATTCTCACAAAGATCCAAAAGGGGCATTTATCACAGGCTTGTGTCATGGGGATTAGAGGCAGCCTGGTGTTTGTTACCAGGAGAGTTTTGTGCAGCCATGGGAAGCAATGGGCTAGTCACACAGTGACACAGGTAGATTTTTAAAATAATACTAAGTGAGAAAAGTAAGGAACAAAATGAAAATTTTAACCCTATATATTTTTATAGTTCAAAAGTATATCCACAAAAGAATGAGTAATATTTTATAAGGGCACATGCAAACAAAAGGAGAAACATTAAATACATTACAGTTATTGCCTAAGATAGTGGAAGGAAATGAAAATAGGAGATGGAGATAAAAGAGAAAAAATGTATTTTAAAAGCTCAAATTATTGAAAAGTCATCATTTCCCACTACCACTCATGATTCCATTGGGTATTTTATTCAATAATGGTTTTACTCTAATAGAGATAATAGTAAATTTCATCGAACCTTTCTTTAGTGGTATTTATAAGATATATTTGTAATGAATGCTGCTTAGCTGATCATGTTGGTAAAATCTCTTTTAAATTGTATATCTGATTCCATAACTAATTTGAATTCCTGTGAATAGGTTTAAGCAATAGTTACTCAATAATGAACCTCTATTTACTCATTTTTAAATCCGTTCATTTATTGCATCAGACACTGAAAATGTTACTAAATACTTAGACTGACCTTTTTCTTAATTGAATAGTTATAGAGAATCAACAAAATCATTTATACAAATTGACCAAACTAATATAGACATAATACAGAATTTTAACCATCTCTTCTTTTGGACTTTGTCTCATTTCCTATGTTCTACTCTGAACTGTTATTTCAAGATGGATGAGATAGACAGTATAGAAATTCTGTTTAGCTTTAGTACGGAAACTGCTCTTTCACAAAATGTCATTGTTTACATTGCTGAATGAGAAACATCCACACTAATTGGTGTAGATGAAATACAAAAAAATGTTGAAAGGAGTAAATCAGGAAAGGGATTGAAGGGAATAAATTACTAGTTAAATGCAATCACAGGAAAAGTTGAAAAGTATTATTTATATTTTATATACTTAAAAAATGAAAAGCAGTTTTTGGCAATCTAATTTAAGAAATCATTTATTCATTAAGTGAATTCCAAATTGGTTTCAACACCATGGAAATCACAGAGAATGACTTTGTTCACATATTTAGTGACAGCCATAATTTAGAAATTGTCTTATATGGCTATGCATAGCTGAAATTTACAAAGCTAGATGTCCAGCTCTTTTTCATGTTGAAATCAGTGTCCTGTTTAAATCAACAGGAAGTTGATGATAAATGACTGCAGTAAGTGAGAGGCGTAGTGAGCCATGCACCATCACTGCTTGTTTCACAGACCTGAGCAAGACTCCCTACCTACTGTCAAGAGACCTCTAGGAGGCTTCTGATGGCTTCTTAGGAAATAAAAAGGCCTTTTTTTTTTTTTTTTTTTTTTTCTGTTTATGGAAAGTTAGTATGGCCCTTGATTCTCAGTAATTTATATTTCTTTCCCATTAGTTAGCAAACATCCAGAATTGCCCACTAATTCCTAAACTGTATAATAGCTGAGTTAATTCATAGCAGAAGAAAGACATTCCCTGCTAGTCATCTCAGAGGTAAGCTGGAGGACTTCAGGCAGGAAAATAAATGTATATCAGAGTGTCTCATAAAATTGCTTTATTTCAAACTAATATTTAAAAATGAGAAATGAAATTGTTGTAACATGGTATTAAAAAAGGTATTTTAAATTATTTTTCTGCTAAACATGAGTGTATTTTTATAAGAAATTTATTTATATTAAATCATACTGTGTACCTAATGGAGCCAAGAGAAAGTTTAGCATTTTAGAAAGAGAGAATTTTCATTTAGGTCTGTGTAAAATACTGCTGAGGTAGTGTTTTTCCATTTCTAGGAACTGAAGATCTGATACATATAAATCAAGTATAGAAATGTAAAGAGCATATTCTCCTTTTTATATATAATATTTCAAAGTAAAAAAAAGAAAGGATATGAAGGTCTACTAAGTTTTGATGGTCTCTCATTTCTTCCTTGACTCATTTCAGGCCCTAGAAAGTGAATTTGTTTCTTGCCAACTTCATCAGTGGATCGACCTTATATTTGGCTATAAGCAGCGAGGACCAGAAGCAGTTCGTGCTCTGAATGTTTTTCACTACTTGACTTATGAAGGCTCTGTGAACCTGGATAGTATCACTGATCCTGTGCTCAGGGAGGTAGGTGTTAAGTCCTATATTATTCCAAAAATTTCTGTCATCTCTCAAACACAAATTTGACATTCCATCTCCTTCTGTATAATTTTTTTTTTCAACGTAACTTTTTACAAAACATAGATTTCAGGTTCTTGATGTATGTGGAAAAATTGAAAAAAGGCCCAAAACAAGTAATGAGACCAGTATGTGGTTCCTTTTTAACTTGCAGACACTTTTAATGTACTTCTATATCTATATTTTATTTTTCTTCAAAATTTACATTAAAATATGTAATGCTTTATGTGTGTTAGTAATAAATGAAACCTAGCTGAATATTTAAATAGGAATATTTCACATTACAATAATCTGCCACTGTGGCTATTCTTAAAAGCACAAGTGCTGGGATTTCAGTGGCTCTTGCCTGTAATCCCAGCACTTTGGGAGGCCAACGTGGGCAGATGACTTGAGCCCAGGAGTTCGAGACCAGGCTGGCCAATATGCTGAAACCCCATCTCTACAAAAAATACAAAAATTAGCAGGGTGTGGTGGTGCAGGCCTGTGGTCCCAGCTACTCCGGGGCCTGAGGTGGGAGGATCACTTGAACACAGGAGGCAGAGCTTGCCATGAGCCAAGATTGCACCACTGCACTCCAGCCTGGGTGACAGAGTGAGACCCTGTCTCAAAAACGTAATAAATAAATAAAAGCAATATTTCTACCTTTTAGACAGAATACTCAAAAAATACATGAATGAAATAGATGCGGTTATGCCATTTTATTCCTATGTGTTCTCAATCTGAAATGTTTATGGCTAACAGTTGGGAATTATGTGCTGTAGTATGTGTATAGTATTTTTAGTGAAAATATTCATATAAAATATTGCTTAAATCACTTCTACATTGCACAAAATTTTAGATAAGTGGAAAGAGTGAAGATACAACAGCTGCTACGTAAGTGTTGCTTCAAGGAAGTGATATCCCAGTCTTCCATTCTACCAGATATCTGCCATCTGTCGTATGCAAAACAAGTAATCATTTCTGCATCTCCAGCCAGTGGAATGCTTTTCTTATATTTTATTTTAGAGGTGGAAAACTTGTAGATTGGAGCAATGAAGCTCTACAGAAAAATTTGCATTCATAAGTTTATTTCTTATATACCTCTATAAAATTAAAATGACTCTATTTGCATGGTTCAAACAGAGAAGAGGAAAAGGAAAGGAAGAGCCTCATAATCATTGATCCTTGGACCCTTAGGGCAATATTCTGAGAACACGTTGCAAGCATATTATTAGGGGCAATATTGTACCATATTGTGTGCACAAGAAGATAAAATTATTGCCTGAAGCCAAGAGAAAAACAGAGAGACAGAATGAATGAATGAATGAATGAATGAATGAATGAGAGAGAGAGAAGGCAGGTATTATGAAATAAGGAATTTTCTCTGCAAATCATTACACTCACCCAACTGAGTATCCCCAGTTGTGTATAAATTGTAATCAGATTATTTGGTAGGAGAAATTCTGAGCTTAATTATTCTCTTAACTATATACCCTTGCTTATCACATGCCTGTTTTATTAAATACTTTATAAACGAAATTATTCTAAGGCTGATACCTTTTAGAATCAGGAAAAAAATAATTGTAATAGTTCATCTTTATATTCCAAGATCAACTCTAAATTGTCTTTTGACTTCTAAATGTCATAGACATTTCTGCTTTGGGATATTTTGTTATACATTTTTACCCATTATAATAAAGTTCTGTTCTTATAAAGAAAGTTAAAAGTTAATCCTGTTGGGCAAAACAAATTAAATACATTAAATACAAAATAAAATAAATTAATACATTAAATACAAAATAAAATACATTAAGCATCTTATACGTGATGAAAGTGCAGGGCAGCATTAAAACTGACAGCAAAATAGCAGGTTTTTCCAATTTAAATGAGGGTTTAAAAATAGATAACTGAAAGAATTTGAAAATGGAATTAAAACGGAAACTTTCTTTACTTGGATACAGTGTTCATTATTTGAATCTTATCAAAATACCTGTTTCTACAAAATAACACGTCACTGCTTTGGACAGTGAAAAAATTGTATATAAGGCTTTGTTAATGTAGAACTTCTTAATGAAACATTACATAGAAATGTAAACATTAAAAATTGTTTTCTGTTGAATGGGAATGGTTCAAGCATATGTTGGCATATTATATAGATGGTCTGAACAATATCTTGTATTACAGCTTTATGACCTTCTAGTGATGCAGACTGTCTGCTGCTAGGGTGCCTCAGCTCAGGACTCTGTCTCCTTTCAGCATGCTCATTCGAAGCACATAATTGCCAGACACTCAGGTTTCATTAGAGACCCAGAGTCATACTGTGAAATGTATGTTCTTTCTCCTCAAACCCCTTGCCCACTTCCTCAACCCTATAATTCTGTGTCAGTTCTTAGAACACTACATGTGAAGGAGCGCATACCTGGAATACTCTTACCTCCCTTCCCCCACCCCCCAGAGGCCTGAGCAAACATCAGCAGAGAGGTTTACCATGGACCTGTGTGGACTCAAGGTTGCTTAGGAAGAGCCTCTGTCTCCTTGTGACCACTAGGGGGCCATTTAGTACAGTGTAGACATAACAGATTAAAGGAGTTCAAGGAATGCTAGTTAATTTCCCCTCTCCCACTTCCCACCATTCACCCCTCTAATATATTCCCGTTGCTGTTAATGCCAGTTAGCCAAGTAGAAGCTAACAGATTCCCACAAAGACAGTTCTGCAGTAACATTTAAGAATGTGAGGAATAGTGTCCTCCAAAGGACAAGAGCCCACCTGAATCCTGTGAGCTGGGTAAATGAGGCCAAGTCATTCAATTTCACTTTACCTCAGTTGCTGTCTCTGTAAATACGTCTATTGTTGTAAGAAAGAACCCAGAGAAAATGGAGTGAAGTACAGCATATTCATTATTTAGTGGTCATTATGCACCCTTACCTATATGCAACCCCTGTGAATGGACCGTGTGGGAGGCACAATACCTTTTTTTAAAACGTTCTTGTTGAATTCCTGGAGGTCTTATATTACTGTGTTGTGACTTGAGAGAGTTGATTCTCACCTAAGTGGTTGGACACAGACTCTTGGAAAAAGCAAAGTTTAAGGATATTAACCCTTTTATTGAGCTCAATACATTTATTTTACTTGATAATGTTTAGCTTAGTATTTTTAAAATACAAAGATTATACATTTCATATAGATAAAACCAAAGGAAGGCTAATTATAGTTACACTAAACCCCAACTAGCCTAAGATGGATTTTTTCATGCTTAAACACTAATTTAAAAAGAAAAATATTTAATATATGAATATCTATATATGTCTTCTTTGTTAAAAAAAAAAAAAATTCTACTACCTGCCTATAAGTTTTGAGTTTTGAAGTTAGTGGTAAAGTTTGAGAAATGGCTTAAGGTTATGGATTCATTCTTCCTTGACAGGTGAAATCACGAAGCAGCACTAACCACAGCAATTATGGCATTAAAATGTCAAGAAATTAGAGGTCAGAATAACAGATAATTTTCTTCTCTATGTCAGATTGAAAATTGACATTCTTTGACAGTTTAGGAACTCTGGCTGAGAAAATTATGACAGCTTAACTTATTTTATACTTGTAAAGCAGTAATTGATAATAAACTTTATCATGACAGCCTCTGGGCAGAAACATGACAGAACAGTTCTGGTACAAAGCTCTTCTTAATATGTAAACACTAGATCTGTTGGATAGTAGATATTATTTAAATTGTCTGAAGTCTTGGCTTACATCATAATCTTCTATGCACTTTTTTCATATATGAGCTGTACTATTGGAGCAGTGTTTTCCAAGCATTATAAAGAATATTTTTTCTTATCCATTTTTATATATTAATAAAAACTGTAGGATTTGATTTATATTTTTACTTACTAAATGATGACCAAGAAACTTCATCCTATGACCTGCTTAGGAAAGAGGATATTCTGGTTGGTAATCATTTAGTCCCATGGTTTTTTAACACCTTGATGCTCAAATGTAGCCCATAACCCAGCAGAATCAGCATCACCTGGGAACTTGCTAGAACTTCAGCCTCTCAGGCTTACCCAGCCTACTAAATACGGTTAATGAGATCCCCAGGCAACTTATTTGAGACATTAACTTTTAAGCAGCACTGCTAGTGAGCTGAGATCGCGCCACTGCACTTCAGCCTGGGCGACAGAGCAAGACTCTGTCTCAGAAAAGAAAACAGGAAGCACTGCTCTACTAAAGGTGTATTAGAATCATTTGGAAAGCTTTTTTTTTTTTTTCTTTTTCTACAAAAGTACAGAGAATGGTACAATGAACCTCCATGAACCTCTCACCCAATTTCAAAAATTTAAAACTACTTCATCAAAACCTCACCACTCCCCCTGTACTATTTTTTTTTTTTTCAGAGACGGAGCCTCGCTCTGTCACCCAGGCTGAAGTATACCGGCGCAATCTCGGCTTACTGCAACCTCCACCTCCCAGGTTCAAGCAGTTCTCCCACCTCAGCCTCCCAAGTAGCTGAGATTACAGGCACCCACAACTACACCTGGTTAATTTTTGTATTTTTAGTGGAGACAGCGTTTCACCATGTTGGCCAGGATGGTCTTGAACTCCTGACCTCAGGTAATCCACCCGCCTCAGCCTACCAAAGTGCTGGGATTACAAGCATGAGCCACTGTGCACAACCCCCTGTACTACTTTTAAATACACATGCCATACCCATCTAACTCCCCATCCACTCTATCCTCCTTATCCCATGGGCATCTCAGAATATCCAGGGAAAGGCTTCAAGCAAGTCTTATTTAAAAAAAAAAATTATCTGGGAATTTCACACACATTCCCAGTTAAAAACCATTAATCTAGCCTAACAGTCTTATTAAATAATGTTTTCAGCGGGGTGCGATGGCGCACACCTGTAATCCCCACACTTTGGGAGGCCAAGGTGGGTGGATCACAAGGTCAGGAGTTCAAGACCAGCCTGACCAAT